GGGTAGGGAGGAGTAGGGGGAGAGATAGTGGCTGCATAGAGGAGGCACCGGGTCTGAGCATGCCCCAAAAGGTTGGCAGTGCCCCACCCAGGTTCTGCATGGCCATTGCCTGGCCTCAGGCGGCAGTTCAAAAGCACTGCGGTCTGGGAGCGGCTCCTCAGCACTTTTTGCCTTAGACCCTGCCACCCCTTCCACTCCAGGCAGCAGAGGCCACTGTGACAAGTTGCTGTGTGCACATGTGAAGGAGGAGGCTGCACAACTGGACTGGGGCCACACACCGCAGAGCCAGTGCCGTGGGGAAGGAAGGGGGGCCACGCAGTGCACAGTGGTGGGGCAGTGGGTGGTAGAGTGGCCAGAGCTGCAAGCTCCAATGGGACCCTCCTATGTGCTCTGTGGGGGCAGCGAGGGGGGGAGGAGGATGCTATTGCTATTGTTGTTGCTGCTGTGCTATGCCAGGAGCAATGGCAGTGCATGGACTCAGTCACTTCTTCCTGCAAGTTGGTGACCCCATCAAATAGTGAAATGTCCGGCAGGGCTTTCTAGGACATTCTGCTACTTGATGGGGCACTGGGACAGAGTACTTAAAATCAGAACAGTCCCAGAAAAATCAGGACATACGGTCAGTGTAAGTATACCTGGCACAGCATTCAAGGGTCGTATGCTGAATACATCTGGGGTGAAAAGTAAGCTCTGTGATCAGTCCATATCTGATACAGGGTAAAGACATGGTGCCAGGAGTAAACTACGATCAAAAACAGGACTAAAGGATGCAGAATCTCATGCACATGCCACTTTTCAATGCTCTGGAGAACTTCAGCTTTGACATACCTTCAGAATGGACAAACTGGAAACAAGATTTTGCAAGATTTCACATTGCTACCAAGCTTCACAAGGAAACTGATGAAACATAGGTAGCTTCTTTAATTTATGCCATAGGAAAACAAACAGAGCATATTTTTCAATCCTTTGATGTTTCTGAAAAGTCACAAAGATGACCATGACAAGGTTTTGGCCATGTTTGAAGCATATTTTATCTCTCAGACCAATGTGGTTTATGAAAGAGTGAATTTACCGGAGAATTCAAAAGCCAGGGGAAAATGTAGACTGTTTGGGTGTGTCTAGACTACAGGGTTTTGTCGACAAAGCAGCTTGCTTTGTCGACAGAACTGAATGTAGTCTAGACGCTCTTTGTCGACAGAAGCTTTGTCGACAGTATGGCTGTATCTAGACTACATGCCTTTGTCGGCAGAGACATGTAGATTAGACACATAGGCAAAGGCAAATGAAGCCGCAATTTAAATGATTGCGGCTTCATTTACATTTACATGGCTGCCGCGCTGAGCCGACAAACAGCTGATCAGTTGTTTGTCGGCTCGTGCGCTTGTCTGGACGCTCCCCTGATGACATCAAAGCCCTTTGTCGGCAGCCCAGTTATTCCTCGTGGAATACCCTTTCATAAAAGCTCTGCTTACATTGGCTAAAAACTGATTTTTGGGAATGTAAAATATGAAAATATCAGAGACAGGTTGATTATTGGGATAAGAAAGAAATCCTTTCCCAGCAGCTACAACTAAAGAGAGAGATTTAACCTAGCCACAGCTATACCTAAAGCAAAACATTCTGAGCTGGTGAATCAGGAAAACCTAGAGCAACTTGACCATGACTAAGTCTACACTGCCATTTTACTGCGCTGCGACTTCCTGGCTCAGAGGTGTGAAACTTGCCTCCTCACCCCAAGTGCAAGTAAATGGGAGCTACTCTCCTTGTGGAGGTGGTTTATATAGAGCACTGGAAGAGCTCTCTTCAGGAGCTTGTGCCATGGCCACAATTTTACTTTACAAAGCCAAGCTTAAAACTAGCTTAACAACTAACAACACACTTCAGTGTTAAAAGGGAAAAGTCATTAGCATAAAGCTCTGAGGCAAAGAGAGAGAATTCCCAGGTTACGTGCACAAGGCATGGAAAAAATCATATCCCAAGAGCTGACCCATGTCCAGCCAGAGGCACATGCTGTCAGGGAGCTGACTCATACTACAAACAATCAAGCACCATTGTTTCTGGGATATGTCACTTGTGATAACACAAAGCCTGTCTGGAGAGAGAAATTCAATATTCATGGAAAGATTATTCACTTCAAAAATTGACTCAGGCGCAGAGATGAAAGTGAGTGGGTGCACCCTGGTATGCAGCTCTAGCCAGAGCTGGCTGAGCTGTGGCAAAAGCCAGCCGGGAGCTATTTGAAGAGCTGGCAGGGAACCAGTTTGCAATAGGACAGTACCTGTAAGGAATGTTAAGTTATTTTCACGCTGCTCAGGAGCTCCTGTCACAGTCATCTTAGAGGAGACTTGCAGTCACTTTCAACCCTCCCGGAGCTGAAGTCACTTGCCAGAGCTCTGACTGGCTCTGGAGGTATTCTGAACTGCATGGGCCAAATCGCCATAGAAACAACTTTCAAAGACAACAGCTTTGGGTTCAGGATATATGTAATCAAAGGACCACCAACCATCAGCCTTTTCAGCTGCAGCATGGCAGCCATCATGGGCCTAGTGAGAAATGTGGAAGAAATTG